GAATAAAATACATTTTTGGCTTCTAAAAACCTTGGGATAATCGATTAACTTGTCTTGTAATCGATTACCCTGACTCTTTTATGTTCTTAGTTCAGTTTTAAAGAGTTGGTAACAGATTACCATATCAGGTAACATATTACTTCTGTTATCACTTTTTATAAATAAATTATGTCTTGCATTTTTAATAACTATCTTTTATGAAATTAAAAGAGAACATTTTTGAAAAATAACATCAGAGAAAAGAATACTTTCAAAAACAAGAATCAAAGGTTGATCAAAGAAATTTTTTCTAAAATATTAGAAGTGCAAAGATTGAACATGTGTTCTTGAAAGCAGAAATTCAAGAAGTGAATGCAATTGTGAAAGATCAATAACTACACAAAATAGGTGATATCTTTATGAACTTTTAACCTATTCATTTTATTTTTATGGTGAATTTCTTAAGATAGGGTGTCTCAATAAGAGATATTAAAATCTTGAGTGGAATTTCTCAAGTAATTTTTGTGGGGTACAAAAATTTGTTTGATTTTCAATCTTGTAGTGTCAAGATTGATGTGTGTTAGCATTCTTGTAATATTGTGTGTGCATAGTGTTTGTAAATAATATTATAATGAATGATCTTTGATTTAGTGGGGTGCTAAATTAGAGGAAACTGGATGTGAGCCAAGTGGATGGCTGAACCAGTATAAATTTTTGTGTTCATTATCTTCTTATCCTATATCTCTTGAACAATCTTTTTATAAATTTGATTAAAGAATTCAAAGATTTATGAGATATGTTATTTCAATTACACATGTACTCTGAATACTATTCTTGTAATTGAAATTGACTAAGAAGATGGTAATATAAAACCAACCTTGATCACAAGTGACTGATTCGCTGCATTAACATTAAAATTTTGATATATTGGTATTGTACCTTGTACTATAATTTGTTAAATCAAATTGATTAAAGGTTGAGTATTGAATATATTGGTAGGTTAAAATCAAGAAATTTCAAAAATAGAGTCATCTTAGGATAGAATTTATTCAACCCCCCTTTTCTAGATTCTAGTAAACAGGGACCAACATTATGAATCTTGGATTGCCCATGGGTTATTGGGGGAACTCTAAGGAATGAATATAATGGGTTAACAAGGGATAATTGAAATATTTTGTATGAATGAGTAAATTTTTGAGTTATGAATGAATATTTTGAGTGTTAATATTACTTGTATTGATTCAATTGAGAGAATTGAGTTGTGTGATTTTCACACTTGTCTATAGTGAATTTCTCCCCAAGGCGGCAAATGGAACACTCGTGCACTCACTTGCATGCCCATGCAAACATTCTAAATGACCCAATTAGCTTTTAATTTCTTCATAAGAGTTGTAGCCTTGGATGTTAACTTTCAAATTTTGTTGGAATTACCTAAAAGGAGGTCTAGAACTCAAGTTATGGTAAAACTAGTAAGTGGAGGTCACGCTGTCAAATTTAGGATGAAATGTTGTTGTTTTGTAATTTCTAAAAGTAATAGATGGCAAAATTAACTCTCGATATTAACATAAAAGTTATAGATAATTGTCTTAGCTTTCCAAAAAAAACTAAGATTAACTTGATAGCATATGTATAGCTCTATATATCATGTTTAGACCACTTGAGGTCATTGAAGAATAAGTTTTGAAAATGTAGTTTGTGAAGTTACTTTACCCTTTAAGTTTTTAATCTTAGAAATGTTTTGAGTAAGTTATATCAATGGTTAAGGAAGAGAAAAAAATAAGAGGGGATATTTGTGAATGAGTTATAATGAAGATACAAAATTATGTTGTCAGAACTTGTGCATGGGGCTTTGTGTTTGTATGTGATATGGGATGTTCCTACGTGATGTGCATAATATGAAATGTTTATATGTGGCATGAGGAATTCATATATGATAGGCGATGATTATAGATGATTTGATATGAAAGGGTCGTGAGTGATGTGACTTGAGATGTTTATGCTTGGGAGTTATTGAACCAAGTATGTATAAGAGTTCTGTAATATATATGTAATGTGAATGACATGAGTATCTGATGGGTTATGAATATGAAATTATGTTTGTAAGACCTTATGGTTGGGAATTTGTGTCCATAAGAGATATGAGAAATGTTAAGGGCTAAAGTTAGGTGTTTGAGATGTTGTGTGATAAACTATTATGCTATGAGTTATTATGTGTTTTTGAGATGTTTGTTAATTGAGCCAAGAATATTATAGAAAATGATAATGTGTGATATGAGATTGACATGATGATGATGTTTATGCATGAGATTGACATGATGATGATGTCCATGCATGATATTAACATGAAGACGATGTGCTATGTGAATGGCATGATTATGTGATAAGTCTATGAGATAAAATTATGTATAAAACCTTGTATATGTAACATGTATCACGTGTATAAAATATTTTATAATCGTATATGGAGGAAAAAGAACTAAAAGAGGGGGTTAAATAGTGTCAATAAAAAAATTCAACACTTTTTGAAACAGTGAAATAGTATCAAGACCTTTTAAGTGTAGACGAAGATTATGTAAAAAGAACATACAATATTTTTATACTAGTTCGTCTCAACTAGTGAGACTATGTCCAGTTCTTGATCAACTTGGTCGAGTTTCATTAAAGATACAACTATTTTTTCACAAGCCACTTCTGGCTCAACCTAGGTGTTTTTGGACTTGCCTCTTTTAGTAACTACTTGACTATGCTTTGAACATAAATCCTCTTCATGCTACAATAACCAAGTATTCTTTTATATTCCATACTTTTCAAGCTCAAAGCAATAACACAAAGTTAAAGTTGGAAAATCACTATGTTATTTCATCTTACTATCAAGACGTGATACAACATAATTAAGTACAAAGTTTTCTACAAAAAGAATGAATATATTTTTATAGTGATTATTCTCTCTTCGTGAGTATCTTTTATTCATTTCGAGTTTTCAAGTTTCTTTATATATAGGTACTTCGTGAATATGACTATTGTAAATCCTTAAGCGTCTCTCACAAGTTTGTTTTATCTATCTTCATCTTTATTCCTTGTGGAAAGAAGTGACATTAAATATCTTTCACCAAATTGTCACTTATTATCTTATCAAGGAAGTTACTTATCACTTTTTAGGTACCAAATGGGGGAAACTATGCATGTGTTAGTCAGAAACAACTTTCTCTGAGATTTCGCGTACTTCGAGGGATATGCTAGTCTTTTTTCTAATGCAAAACATGTTTATGTTCCTTTGTGAAGTGTGATTATCGAATAAGCTTTTTATTCCTTTTGATTTGTTAAGGAATAACATAGATAAGATGATTTAGTTATCAAACTTCACAAATAATACAAATGAAAGTCTTTTGTCTTATAGACAAAGTGATCCATTTGAGAAACTTAATGTCATAATAACCAATTGTTTTATTGTTATTCATCTTATAGTATGATACAAAAAACTTTTGTCTTGAAAAATGTTTAAGTTTGTTATCCTTAAAACTAATAGTCTAAGAGATCGAAGATTATCTTTTGACCTAACATCATACATGAGTATTAAATAGATACTTAGTATCCCTTAAATAGATACTTAAGTCCTATCTTTATGATGAAGGTTTGATTATTTGAATGAAATGATATCTTATTGATTAAACAAAAATAATGTACCAAAGTATGATAATATGAAATCTTTAAAAGATAATCATGTGAAGATATTCCATATATTAACTATATATTAAGAACAAATTACATAAAATTTTGTTTTATAATGATGGACAACGTGGATGAACAAAAGAAGCACAATTGTACATATATTAATATAGGAAGGAGAATAGTTGTGTTGATAGCTTAGCCGGATTTGGTCTTAATTACACACCCCGGTTCTTCTTGGTGGACCAATATTCTCTCTTGTATTGTTACTTCTTATTCTAGAGAAAGGTGTGGTCTTTCACACTTTAAGTTCTCATAAGGCAGGAGTGCATAACTTTTTATACTTATCTTTCATATTTGTTTAGTGTTATATAACCTTTTGATGTGTTGAAAATGATTGGGATGTTAATCTAATTAAGATCTCTTCCTTATATTATGATGTCTTAGCATATCTATTTTTTTTTTAAAAAAAATTTCAAAATGACAAACAAATTTAAAAAGAAAAAATCTCAATAAATATCATTTCATCCATATATAAAAATTCGGAAACCAATTTCTCTGTCATATAATTAAAGAATATAGGTATACCGTCCCATACCAAGTGAACTATATATTTTATTAAAAAAAAATTAGTGAACTATATATTTATATTTACGAATCTTGCTGATTAGATTACAAGTGTGCATAATTGCCAGCAAGTCTGTAACTTCTGCTCTTATTAATTTAAATGCACAACATTGCCTGCACGATTACAAACATACACTCCTACACACATAATTTCATCTAATTTATTTATTTATTTTTTCTCCTTCACTTTAGTGATAGAGCATGACGCTAACAAAGAAAAAAAATCAATAATAAAACTGAATGAAGAAAAAAAAAATGTCTTAACTTATTTACAAAGTACAGGGGAGCCGAAGCTATATAATAGCACTACCTCTCACAAGTCACAACTAACATAACCGAAAAGCTATATCTCGGTAACGGCACCAACACAACTATCAATATAGAGCATATATTAAGATTCATAATCTGTTGAAATTCAAATCCCTGTCATCGCAACATTTACCCAAAACTTCTGTATAATTAAGCATTGTGATCTAATAAAAACTTAAAGATATGGATATATTAAAATATTAATAAAATTCGTATTAAGGTATTTTCTGAATTTATTTAAATGTTATCCTAAAATTCTTCTACTAAATTTTACCTATACACGCTATCGCAGCACAATATTTTTTCTAATCTAAAGTGGGGTAGTCTTTACTCTTGATGTTACACTATACCAGCACAAAAATTAATCTAAAGTCAAAGTTAATCCTTTCTATTTCATCCGCTTCTTTAGACTTACAATCCACGCAAACTGCCTTAACCATCAGCAGAAAAAGTATATCCAAATATCTGATCTGAAAATACATCACATATCTCCTTTCATCCTTATATATATAATATGGACACAATTATTGGAAAAAAAAAAAAAAAAAAGCAAACAAGTGATCATCTCTAAACAATACATCAATCTTGATTTGAATCTCCTATCTTTTTTTTCTTCTCCTAAAAACTATTAATTTCAAACCACAAAGACAAAGTCTTATGACGATTTCTTTCTTTTTTCAACAATATCATATTCTCAATAGAAAAATACTAAGTTCTGGTCCCCCGTTACCATCAGGGTTCAACATGTAAAACGCCTCCGAGTCACGGCTCCCAACGACTCGCTCAAACCTCGCCCTCATGTACATCAACTCGCCCTCCGACCCGCCGCCGTCTTTCCTCCCGCCGGCGCCGTCCTCCAGCAGCGGGATCACTCCAGCACCGACCGACACGCTCTGGACCGTGCTCAGCACGTGCCAGTCGAGGTCCCCGCACGTGCGGGACACGGCATACCCGCAGTTCCTCCCGTTGCAGTACATGGTCCAGGCAGGCTCTTGGAAGAGCCTCCTGGAATGATGTCGACCGCTGCTGTTCACGTCAGCAGCGGTCGACGACAGCTTCTGGCACTCGAGCGCGATGCGCACGAGTCCAGAGGACATCTCCTTGACGAGGGAGGAGGTGGACATGGCGAGTTCGAGGAGGAGGAGGGGCTCGGCGCGGGGGTGGAGCTGGACGGCGAAGGAGATGTGGCCGCGGCGGTGGCCGAAGAGGGTGCCGGTGACCTTGCGGCCGAGGGAGGGGGTGATGGAGAGGTTGGAAGGGATGGTGAGCCACTTGCATGTTGGGATCATCGTTGGGAACGTGAAGATGTTGAGGAAGGAGCGTATGAGGGAAGATAGCTTGTTCTGTGGGGTTAGTTTATTATTCCTCGTTTGGTTTTGGCACACGTTTGAGACCGAAGGCGAGGATCCTCGTCGTATGAGGAGTTTGTCGGAGACATCTTCGGATTCGAGTAGGGAGCGTGAGTGGGTTAGGTTTGAAGGGAGGATTCTTCGGGTGTTTCTTGTTGCGGCGGTGCATGCGCTGGAGCTTCTTTGGAAGATTTGTTGTTGTTGTTGGTGTTGGTGTTGGTGTTTCATGCTGTGTTGGAAACGAAACAGAGTGAAGGTGGGTTTGATGGGGTTGGAGTGAATGAGGGAGATTGTGATTCAAGGTTGGAAGATGAGAGAGAGAGAGAGAGAGAACCGACAAGGGTGATTATGGTGTTGGGAGAGGGGAGGAATATAAAGGGAGGGTGTGGAAGCTTGTGCGTTATGATGATCATAATTTGTTGGACTTTTGTTTTGGGAATGGTCCTACAATGCTAACAACAACCATCATCTTTGTTTGTTTACTGCTTCATTCACCCGAGGCCAGAGTCATTGACTTCATTGCATCTCACTCACCCTCCCCCTCCCCCTCCATCTCCATCGCAAGGTGTGGGTCCACTTTGCCTAGTTTAACACACATCAATACTTTAAAACTTGTTTTTTTACTATTTTGGGAATAGTGATGATATACAAATAGAAGAGTGGGTTACTGAATCTCTTTTTTATGTTTTATTTTTTATATAAATTAATTTTTACTATTTAATATAATCATCATAAAAAATATTCTTCATTTAATTCAGATTTTATTTTTAATATCAAATTTTAGGGAAAGATAAT